GAGAGAGAGAGAGAGAGAGAGACTAAATGTGTTGAACCATAAAAAGAAGGTTATTTTTGATTAAATCTGTGCTTTTGTAACAACAGAGGGCAGTGAGGATGGGGGGAGTTGGAGGCTGTGTGCTTCGTTAGCTTTGATTCGTTTCATTTGTGTTTGTTTAATCCAAACAAAGAAAATCAAAGTCAGACTTACACACACTCTACCTTAGCGTGAGACGGTCGTACCTGAGCAAGGATCCCCAAGTCACACAGCAGCCAGTGTGGGTAAAATGAGGATGTCTCTGACTCACAGTGCGACCCCAAAGCAATTTCAGAAAAGCAGGCTCTCACTTTGCTCTCCTCCAGAGAGTGGAGGAAGCCTGGGTTTAACCTGATCCATGTGAAACAGCTGTTTTTGGGGGGATATCCCACCCCCGCTCAACCCCAGCGACCCCGAGTGACTGGAAGTTATTGCTTGCCTGACTTTCACCAACTGGAAATATCCCCCCGACTGTAACCCCGCGGCCACAACCGCGAACTCCTCCCAGACCGTCAATAAAGTCATTACAGTGAGTGTTACTTCAGCCACTGAAACACCAGGGGATGGCTTTGATCTGACCAATGAGCCTAATTTACTGATGAGTGAAGCGCGCAGAGTTTTTGAAATCAACCAAGACAGCTTTGCAGATTCTGACTTTTTAATTAACATTTTATTACTATGCTTTGAAACAATGTCAGATTTCCATATAACATTTATTTGTATGTTGTAATGTTTTTCTTACACCGCGTGTAATTTTTATAGAAACCTTATTAATTGTATGAATGTGTAATCATGTATCTTTGATAAATAAAATATTTCATCTTTTATTTTTTTACTTTGTGGTTATTAAATAAAGATTAGTCACATATCGCATTGATAAACACAGATGGCAGATGGAAAAAGCAAACACAGTGTTGTGCTGCTAAACTTTGAGGTTCTAAGACACCAACGTTCAAATAAGAAAAGATCAAGAGGAGACGAGCAGCCCTGAGTCTGCATGTAAAACATGAAAACTCCAAAGCAGCCAACCCAGGTGGCCTTGCATGGAATGGGAAGGAACAGACTCAACACAGTCGTTATCAGGGAGTTTTTGTTTGGCTCCAGCCTTGAGCCCACAGCTGGCGCCGAAGGGGTAGCCGGATTATGATGGTAACATCTTAGATCTATTTCCAGGGGCGAGAATGTTGTATGTTAGATTTTGTTTTAAATCAGATGATTATGGGGTAAATTCCAGTACTGAAGGCAGAACATACATATAATACTGAGTGCAGAAAGAGATGGTTTCACTTCACAGGTGTGCCTGTGGGGTTTCATTTGTTGCCTTCTTAATGAGGTTGGGACCATTAGTTGTGTTGTGCAGCAGTCAGGTTGGTACACAGCTGACAGCCCTATTTGACAACTGTTAGAATTCATATTATGGCAAGAACCAATCAGCTAAGTAAAGAGAAACAACAGCCCATCATTACTTCAAGAACTGAAGGTCAGTCAGTCTGGAAAACTTTGATTGGTTCCCCGAGTGCAGTCGCAAGAACCAAACGCTATGATGAAACTGTCTCACATGAGGACCGCCCCAGGAAAGGAAGACCCAGAGTCACCTCTGCTGCTGAGGACACATTCATCCGAGTCACCAGCCTCAGAAATCACAAGTTAACAGCAGCTCAGATTAGAGCCCAGATACATGCCACACAGAGCTCCAGTAGCAGACACATCTCTACATGTTCAGAGGAGACTGTGTGAATCAGGCCTTTATGGTCAAATAGCTGCTAAGAAACCACGACTAAGGAAAAGCAACAAGCAGCAGAGATTTGTTTGGGCCAAGAAACACGAGGAGTGGACATTAGAGCAGTGGGAATCTGTGCTTTGGTCTGATGGGTCCAAATCTGAGATGTTTGGTTCCACCCGTGACACAGAAAAGATTAACTGATAGTGTCTACATGCATGGAGGAGGAAGTGTGATGGTGTGGGGGTTGCTTTGCGGGGACACTGTTGGAGATTTATTCAAAATTGAAGCCACACTGAACCATCATGGCTACCACAGCATCCTGCAGCAACATGCCATCCCATCATTGATTTTTCAACAGCACAATGACCCCAAACACACCTCCAGGCTGTGTCACGGCTGTTTGACCAACAAGGAGAGTGATGGAGTGCTGTTGGAAAACCATTTCAGGTGATGACCTCACGAAGCTCATCGAGAGAATGCCAAGAATGTGCAAAGCAGTAATTAAAACAAAGGGCAGCTATTTCGAACCATCTGAGATCTAAAACATGAAGGAAGGATTAATGAGGGATTAATCTCCATCTCATATGTTTCCTCCGTCAGGTTAGGGATAGGAATTAATAAGGATTTGGCGATTCCGATTCCATTACCAACATCACTTATCAATTCAATTTCCTGTTGATTATCTTAGCACTTCTCACTGGGTTCTCGTTGGCTGCACTTTGAGAGTGGCCACCATTGTTAAACAGCATACCAAAGACATTACATTCATGCAGATGAATTGCATGTTCTGGGTCAAATGTTTGTACATGTTGGAGGTTACTTAAAAACGTCATTAGTACCGATTTTTCTACCTCTAATAACCTCTAGCTGGACTTTAATGAATGCAATAACACTTTTAACGTCAATTAAATTAACCACTAACTAACAAAGAACTCGTATACCAGTATTCGCAAATATATCGGATGTCAACACCACATTAGATATACCTCTGTCTAAACTCTTCATTTGGGTTCTAATGTTAGGTTTATGATTACTTTGGATAATGTGATTGGCACTGATGTTTAACATTTCCTTTCTTTCTTTTCATGGTCAAGTTATAGTGAGAGCTTTAATTAAACAAACTGAGTTTACCCATAGTCTATGTAAGAAACTTATATACAACCACCGTTTCAGGCTACGTGCAGATACTCATGTCTGCGGAACAGCAGGATCCCCATGTGCACAGTTCTCTCCTGCCCACTGTGGAAGTAGGCGTTTGCTTGCGATTTTAACAAGTGGGCTACTATGTTATAAAAGAGCCTGGATGGCAAATCTTTACACAGATGCCAAACTGCTGTTTTACTACTGTTATTCTTCTACTGTAACTGCTGTATAGACAAATACACGGTTTGTGTGCACACACTGAGAAACTGCGAGGAGGAGAGAGAAAAGGCAAAGTAGGGAAAAACAAGGCGAGTTAGAGAAGGCTGAGCTGGCAGATCCAACACAGCCGTAGTTGACGTTCGCTAACGGGACCAGTCCGGTTCAAAAACAGGGACGTTAACCTGGCAAAAATGAGATTTTCATCTTTGCTGTTATTTTCAGCTATTGTTGTCTGCGCGCTTTCCGCTCTGGTAAACTCCGAAGTAGAGGGAATTCCTGAAGGTAAGTTTGGAATGCTGGCAGAGATAACGCTGTGTCCGCACCCTACGGTGTTGGTGGTGCAGTTTGTAGCAAATGTGTACCGAGACGAGTTGGGCCAGTTAAGCTCGACACACGGAGACTTAGTTCATTTGATAACTGGCTGAAAAAAGCTGTGCTGCAACCACGCGTGTCACAGAAATGTGTGAGAAAGAGTTGAAGCCGAACTACAGACAAAACAACACGATGGCGACAAATTATCTGACTGCATCTTTATGAAAAGCCCGGATCCTTGGATCAGTGTTAGTCTGTTAGAACAACCGAAATTTCCCCACTTTGTCTCGTAGTGCTTGATGCATGTCGAAAAGTTGTTTTTCAGTTTTCCAAAATAAAAATCACTGTTAATAAAACATGAACGGAGTTTATTAACGTTTCGTCAGCGCTTTCCAATTCAAAGCAAACTGTAGTCGCTCCGGGCTGAGGAGGGCTGCCATGCCGCTGACGTGGACGATGCTCCTCTGAGCTGCTGTAATCACTGCCTCTAACACATTCACGTTAGCCTGTGGGAAGCCTATATTATTAATAGTTGCAGGGGATGCGGACTTGATTCTGTGATACACCCACAAAGAATAAAAATCTAAGTTTAGAGACTTTTTTTCAGGCTTAATTCATAGCGACATTAACCCTGAGCAGTTCACTGTTACATCGTAACCATAACCATCTTAAAGCCTTTATCACAGCCTGTGCAAGAAACGTATTTGCTCCTCTGTAGAAATGTAACTACATGTCGACATAATCGCACAAGTATAGCTCTGCGTTTAAGTGCAAATATGGGAGCATCAAAATGCCATCATATTACTAATACAGCGCCTCTTCTTTCTGCTAGGTTATTGTACACTATAGTTCACAGTCATACACGCGTTACATAAATACTCTTTATGGTGGTACTGTAAAGTTTTGTCACGCTTAAGTCATTCTGAATTCCTCTGTCATGCTCTGGTTTTCAGACAAACTTCTAGTTGTGACTGTTGCAACCAAAGAGACTG